GTGGATACCTAAGGTCAAGGATTATCACCGTTAGGCTGGAAGATCTGTAAGTTATAACTCAGATCTACTATTATTGTCATATTCGTTGTTTTGTCATAATCAGGGAAGATCTGTTTGGGAAAATTTTAAACTTCCGCTGCTGTACTTTTGAGGTACGTTACATCAACTTCCTAACACGAACGTCATACGGACCACTGCTCAGTGTGCCTCGTCTCCAATTTCTACCAGAAGGGAGATGGTCCCTCGGTGTCAATGCAGTTTCCTGTGAAGCTTGCCAACGGTGTTTGTAGGGGCGTCAGCCTGTCCCTCCCCAGTTTCATTCTTTCGAACGTCATAAATACAGGACGTTTACACTGCTACCCGTATCCACTAGTACTCGGCGGATGAGGGCGTTATCCACACACATGCTTACCACCAACTCGTCCCTGTGCAGACTGGGCGATGCTGCCAGATCTGTGGGACCGAATGTGATTGGTTCGGTCCTTACCTTCTTATGGGGTGGGTCGGAGATGGAAGCCACAAGTAGGCTCTGACCGAAGTTCTTCCGTTCGGCATCTGTGTCCCCTATTTCTCCCCCGCCGAAGATGACCTTGATCTCCATTCTGGGCTTTTTTCGCGGATTTCCTGAACCTTCGGCCTCGTCCCTGGGCTGTATGTACGCGTCATTTTGTGGCTGGGCATCTCTTTGATCATCCCTCTTCCAACTATTTGACGTTTTATTTTGGTCCTGGAGGGGGCCTACCGCATTCGGGTCTTTGTTTACATACTTAACCAGGCGACCTTGCTGGATCAGCTCCTCTATAATAATCTGGAGCTCTCCGCAGGCCCTGGTAGAATGTCTCTTCCTCTTTTGATATGGACAATATGTGTCATCACGTCCCATATAAGCTTCTGTGTCCGTTGGAGGGGGGATCACATCTTTTTCATTCTGAAGGATTGTAGCAACGGACATGACGAGCGGTGTGAAACGAGCTGGTTTTGGAGCATTCATGGCCACTATGTTAGGACCCAGCCAATCGGCCAACTTTATAGAAGCATGTGGTGCTCTACGATCTGTGATCATGATTTCTTCTTCCGGGATAGCATGCCTCTGTGCCCGTTCTAGGACCTCCACATAACTGGTCCCTGGGTTTTTCTTTAAATCCCGGTATAACTCCCCCGTCTGAAGAGCGTCGGTAAATAGTGTGACGGCTATGCAATCCTTTAATTTTTCTACTTTTAACGTCTCATCCCTCCATCTGGTCAAGAACTGGGTGATGGACTCCTTCCGCTTTGGGGTAGCACTCGAGGCGAAGTTAGCCAGGAACAGGGTTGATAAGGCGACAAAGCTTCCGATTGATCCAGGTTGTAATTGGCTGAACCATTCCTGGGCAGGTCCTCGGAGAGTGCTAAAAAACAATCTGCAGATAGCCTCCTCTTAGGCTCCCAAGAGCATGAGCGCTCCCTGGTAGCTGATGAGATGGGTATTGGGGTCTCCTACACCATTAGAAACACATCCGACCTAGGGTCTGCAATCCATCTGGATCTCCACTTCCATTATTTCCCTGGTAAAGGGAGATGTGATCTCCGCACGGAGTGGCGGGGGCATCTGATTCTGTTGACGAGTGAGCCCGTCAATTTGCTTTTGCAAGGCGGCCAGTGCTGCTTCCTGGGCCGTTCGGGGAGGTGTCCTCATGTTAACCCTCTCGGGGGTCCTCTCCGTTTGGTGTGCAGCTGCCTCCTGACGTCCTCTGGTAGAACGCTCTCCGTTTCTTTCAATGTATTGGTAACGTTGTCCTGTTGTTCCTCCCATCGGGGTCCGTTCCCTATACCGACCCCCTTGCCTAGTCACGGATGGGGTATGGTCTGAGGATGAGTACGGTTGGTATCCGGAAGTGTGGGCCCTCCAGTTTCCTTCTTCCCCCAACCGTGAATAATCTGAAGCCCTTGTTGTCTCCGTCCCCCCGGTATTCGAATCCAATGAGCGCATGGTGTGGCTAGGTGAAGGAGATGAGTATTCAAAGTGCCCGGTGTACACAAAGTAACCCTCGTCATGGTGTTCAGCCATCCGGCGCATAGTCTCCGCCATTATCCTCATCACCCGAGGATCTCTTCTAGTGGCTTCAGGGATTATATGGGTGAAATCCCCATCGTACCCCTGATTCTGGTTGTCGCTGGTGTGGCTCTCCGTTCTCCAGGTTGTGGAGGACTGGTTGTCTCCTTGTCCCCTGGTGGTATCATGTGCATGCTCGGACGTGATGATGACCATATTGGTGTATGTAATTTGCTTAGATCAGTGTTTTGCTTTTGAAACTTTTAGTTAGTTTCCCACAGATGGCGCCAATGTTGTGGTTTAGTCCCGAACGACCCGAAGGCCCAACACTAACCTTGGATTTTGAGTTAAACTGTATAGTAACGTGTATAAAAGGAAATATCAAATCTGACTTAACTATTTAAACAACTCATCTTGTATTAAGACAGTAATAACAATTACACAGAAATGATTGAGCGGTAATTATGGTTCAAAGGCTAATACGAGAACTAGAATGCCATATAAGTTTGTGAGTTTATCAAATCCAACTCTTACAATGATTTAAAAGCTGCTATTTATACTAAATGGAGACATGGAGTGCCCTAATACTATTGGTTGCTTTCCATGCCACTTGAGACCCCCATGATCCAGCATTAACTGCAGTCGGTCACATCCCGTTCGGGTGATGTCGAAGGGGCCTTGCCCTTAAGCAGAACGTTTGGGCCCAACGTTCTCCTCTGGACTATCCTTTGTATTTTGGGCCTCAAGAATGTGTTGAATTCATGTTCAGGATCTATGACCTCTCGGCTTTCCTTGGTGCTTGGACTTTTAGGGATATTTTGGGTTGCCATACTGGATCGGACCTCAATATCCTATCACCAAGATATAGAATCCTAGTGATATTAATAAAATAGTACAGAGTAAAATGTAAGTGCCAATAGCAATTGGAAATAATAATCTAAAATGTACTTGTGCCTGGATTGCTTGCTTTGGGATGCTTCTTCCCGATGATCATATTGTGGCTTAGCTTTCTCATTATTTAGTAGAGAGTATACATCATATTTTGATGAAAGCAGGTATGGACATCCATTCGCACGCACTGGTAGCAGCACAAGGGTATTCATAATTTCTTCAGTGCAACATACTTAGCTTCTATATTGTAGATGTTCAATAAAACCTAAGAGTTGTGTAGATGTTTGTGGAAAGTGGAAACTGTCCAAAGCACGTACTAGTGTACTACCTTTATACGTGCAAGTTGTTTCCCTGGAAACTGTTGAATGGAAATGGTGTTTGATACGTGTCACACGCATATGTTGTACTAACGTAATAATTTTTCAGCAATAGCCACATACTTTGTAGGTTTTCTAGTTACAAGCGTGTAAACAAAAATTGCTAGGCGGGAATAGGTTTTGCGTGACGATCCCATTTTTAAATATATAAAGATGTTTACACTATTGTCGTTTTTAAAATTTTTATATAATATTTTTAGTGTAACATCGGTCCTGGCTACGCCCCTGAGTTAGGACAAAGATTCATTTGCTTTATGATCAATCAAGAATCGTACATCTCGTACATCTCGAAAAGACACTATGTGAAAAGAATTTTAAGTATTTACTTAAAATTGATCGCATATAATAATATGTGAGAATATTGGGTACAATCTCTAAATATGAATCCTCTGATTCTTCACTTGCAATTTGACATAAATATAATTAAAGAAATTAATTCAAAATTAAATCTTTAATTCTTCAAATATTCGAACATTCGTCAGATCTTCAAATCTTCGAACCTTCGTTCTTCGTATCTTCAAACCTTCAAAGTTTTGTTCTTTGAATCTTCGAATCTTCGTTCTTTGAATCTTCAAATATTCTTGAATTAAGAATTCAGCTTGAAGGGCCTCCGGTTTTCAAGTGGCTTGATCTTCAACAAAAGGGTCGTTTTATGGCTTGATTTTCTGTTTAAGGGCCTCCCGGGATATGTGGTTTGATCTTCAATTGAATATTGCTTCAATCTTAATATGAATATCTTCAAATCTTCAAAGTTTCGTTCTTCATATCTTCAAATCTTCAAAGTCTTGTTCTTCAGATCTTCGAATCTTCAAGCTTCGTTCTTCAGATCTTCGAACGTTCTTCAACTTTTGGATTTATTTTATTAAGAATCGATGAAATCACGAAGGATTATTCGTATATTCTTAACAAAAATCGTGGCTTAATCTATTCCTCTTCTTCGGGATCGTTCAGGGCCTTACGGGAGTTCTTGAGAGCTTTTCTGCAACGTTTCTTCGTCTGAAAATTCTCCTCCTTTTTCTCTCAACTGAGACCCCTATTTATAGGTGTGGAGGAGGTGAAAATATGCTTTAGGGTTGCAGAATTTCGTCCATACCTCATGGGCCTCAAATAAAATGGGTTTTGGGCTCTATCTGCTTGCATTTAATAGTCAGAAAAATCAGCACTTGTTCGATGTATCTGGACAGCCTTTTTAACAAGGTTCGCAGCCATTTTCCATGCATACAGATGAATTCCTTAACCATATTCATTGCTCTCTTTATTAATTGGATCATGACTTTTATTCATTGGGCAACTATTTAATAATGGGCTCAAAATAAAGAAATTAATAGGACCGGTCCATTCTTTTAAAGATTAAATTAATTGGATATTTAAATGACCCAAATCAATTCAATTATTAAATTTTATCCGAATGGGTCCATATTAATATTTTTATAAAACCCAACAACCATCACGAGCGGCCCAACAGAATCCGACAGTGGCCTACTAGCAAATAATATAGCCCGGTAGCTTTTAAGAGCTCAATAGCTATCATAGTTAGCCCGGTAATTTTTATATGTCCACAAATGCCCCCTCCAGACTTAGCAATATCTTCACAGAAAAGTAAGTCTCGAGAGTGACAGTTTGGGTCGACATAATTAAGAGATGTTTTGGACACAATCCATCTTTGACCTTACAAATATTCCCAATAATTCCAATAGAAGCCTTTCGCAAAAAACCCAAATATCAGGAATGCGGAGTCCAAATTAATTTTCAATGTTTATCTTCATTTTAAGTGGGCCACAAATGTTAAATATCTTGAGCATAATCTGCAATTTGTCATGCGTATGCATCCTTAATACAAATTACATATTTTATTTCTTGTAATCCAAAAGAAACAATCCTAGGAAGGATCAACCTCAACAATTTATTCGGACTAGGAACATCAAAATACCAAAGCCTGATACAGCCGCACTCAAACTCTTGACCCTCCTTATACTTGAACTGTATTGGAACTCTAATTCCTCTTGTATTCTATAAATACAGAGTAGATTTCATCTGCTCAGTAACAAAGTTACGCAGCAGGCACAAGTATTTTGGAGGAGCAGAGAAAACAAATCCAAGGTATATTTGAGTACACTTATTTCTTATTGCAAGCTTCTTCTTTTTCATGGTGCAGGTACCGCTCTAAAAAGGCTCGTGTCCACAAATTCGCAAGCTGTTCCTAAGTAATCGTTGTTGTTCATTGGATTCCAGAGGAACTACGCCGAATACATCTTGATCTGAGGAGGAGGCTTTGCCGGCCGGCTCATCCTCGAGAGTAGAACGGCTGTTCTTCCTTCACCGCTCCCTCAATATCTCCAATCTGTGACAATATCTCCAATCTGTGAGAAAAAAAAAACGTGATCCGCAGCATCAACGGCGTGGAGTCCAGGAGCTAATTCGGTCACAAGTTAATGTTTTGCCATTGGAGAAGAAGACCTGGCCGGGTTCTGAAATTGATTTGTGGCCGGAGAAGACGATGCCTGAGTATTTGTTGGTGCTGCTCGCCGAATTGGTAGCGGCTGCTTGGTCACCGAAGGAGGAAAGAGATGACAGATGGCGTTACTGGTGCCCGAGGTCGTTTCCAGGTGAGGAGGCGTCTGCTGTCTTCTGGAGCTGCTATCCGCGTGGAGGAGATCCGCAGGAAGGAGAAGAATGTCTGGCCAAGATTCGCGTGGAGGAGATCCGCACGAGGTCGATTACAGTAACTTTTGGCCAGAGGAAGGAGACAACTGCTCGTGCGAATAAATTGAACAGTAATTGGGCCAACTTTTACTTTTAATAAATTGGGCCTTTGGGCCTATTTTATGCTTTGAGCTTTCCAATGAATCCGGGCAATTCTAAAATCGCAACGAGGCCCTGTTTTCTGTTATTTCAATCGATTTAATCATCACGCCACTTATTGAAGAGGAAGGAGCTAAGCTATTGTCGATTGTCGGTGCTGTTTGGGGCCCTTCGTTGGGTTAGTGGCACTGATCTAAAGAATTAGGTTGATTTCCGATCGCCGGTGTTGCTTTGGGCCCTTCGTTGGGTTAGTGACACCGATATAAAAGAATAGGTCTATTGTCGATCATCGGTGTCGCTTGGGGCCCTTCGTTGGGTTAGTGGCACCGATCTAAAGAATTGGTCCGATTGCCGGTCATCAGTGTCGCTTGGGGCCCTTCGTTGGGCTAGTGGCACCGATCTAAGGAATTAGACTGATTGTCGGGTGTCAGTGTCACTTGGGGCCCTTCGTTGGGCTAGTGGCACCAATCTAGAGAATTCGGCTAATTGCATTTGTTGAAGACTGAGATGTTGCCGCTATTTTCGACCTTTGTCCATTCTGAAGGAGCTTGACTAATTATTAGCCAGTATTACTGATTTCTTTGTTCGTCTAGTCGGAAGATGAAGTCAATTGCTCGAGCTTGAGATTGATTATCATTGCTGAGAGGCCCTTTTTTTTATTATTATTATTACTTTAGTTTTTATTTATAGTAATAATAATGATGATGATTTTTTTTATCTCCTTTTTTTGCAGTCCAAAATGATATCTTTTAAGGACGTAAGGCGTGGAGGCAAAAAGTATCTCTCCATATCAACGAGCAAGAAGAATGACGAAGAGATTCTTTTGGAGATGCACACGCCATTTGCTCGCGAATTTTGGGGTCCAACGGTTGTGTCATATCGAATTACAAACTGGACTCCTGAGTGCGAGTATCAAGCTCAGACAATGCGGACTTTAGTATCTGGCTTTACTCACATGTCCTCTTCTGAGATTCTTACTTCTTTGGGTAGACGCATCCTTGATGAAAACGTCCCTTTGACAAAGACCTTATCATTCGGTGGTGAGTTTAGATTCATCACAGGTTATTGGGACTGGGCCGAAGATATATTGAGCATGAGTAAAAGCGTTCTGGAGGAAGGGCTTATTTATGATGCTGTTTATGCCTCATTATTCACGTATGACCGATGTACTAATGCTATTCAAGCATTTTGTGAGGCATGGTGTCCCATGACGAATACTTTGCTTACGTCAATTGGCGAATTGACGATCACACTTTGGGACTTGCACGTTATCGGAGGATTGCCTATCATAGGAGACGCATATGATGAATCTATTCCGGGCTCTTCTGAGTTGTTAAATACGAGCGCTGACCGTTCATTTCATCTCTGCAAATATTTGTTTCACGCATATCATCATCTTTTTCCCAAAACCGGAGATAAGCGTGTTTTGCGTGTTCATGCGTGGGTCAAATTCTGGTTCAGAAAGGCCTCCAAGTATACTATGCCTCCAGTGAGAACAGAAAAGAAACGAACATCTCGTGCCAAGGCGACCCATAATCCGAGTGGAGCTATTCCAAAATTTGGAGGATGGTCGAATTCTATGAGGATACCATTCCACGTACTCAAGGTTCCTGTTGAATATGAGGAAGAGGTATTTTTAGCGGCATTTTTATCGTGTTGGCTTTGCGCATTTGTATTGCCGCATGAAGGTCCTAGAGTTATCCGTCCGGAAACATTCAGAGTTGCTTGTATGTTGGCTCGAGGGAAACGTGTATGCCTTGCGGTCCCGGTTCTTGCAAGTGTCTATCATGGGCTTAATCGGATCTCGAATGCTCCAGCTCCTGATCAAGTTAGGACGTGTTTTCTCGTTCACTATGTTTATAGATGGTTGGCATCATACTTTGATACGCATTTTAAGAATGAGATCCGGTCTACGACGCCATTAATGATTTTGTTGGTCCCGGTTGTACTGGATACAGTCTAGAGGGGGGTGAATAGACTGTATTGGTTTTTAACTTTTTCAAGCTAAGTACCAGATTTAACAGAATAGCCTGTTCTGTTGACAGAACAGACTGGCAGCGGATGGGGTTCTGGTAGGGAGTTCTGTTAGTAGCCTCAGAGAAGCAAAGGCAGTAGGCCTTCTGTTAACTCACAAGACCAATTCTGTTGAACACAGATACCAAGTCTTTGGAGTTAAACAGTTCAAATGAAAACTATGAATGTAAAGCAGTAAGTAAATGACACCAGGGCTTTTTAGAGGGGTTCAAGGAACAACTTGTTCCTCTAGTCCACTGTTCCACTAAGCTCGTAAAAACTTCCGTTTACAATGCCTTAGCCCTATCACTTAAGAAGCTCTCCACGTCTTCTTCAAGTGTAGATGTCTTCTTGGATGCACTTCCGGCTTCCCTAAGACTGGTCCTTTCACTGAGCTTTCCCAGAAGTATCACCACTTCACAGCTCCAGGTACTTGGACGTCCTTCTTGTGAAAGAAGAGGTTCTAATTAGAACTGAGGTTCCTCCAACTTGCTTCGTTACAATAAGTTTGTATGTGATGAGCTTGAAGAGTTGAAGAGCACTTGGAACTTTGCTTGAGTTGGAAATAAGGATTTTTCCAACTTCTGCCTTCTCTTGTAGAGGATGATGAAGTTTTAATCTCAAGGAGGCTTTTTGCGTTTTTGGCGTTTGAATATTTTGTATGCAGAGTTGTAGCAAAAGTTAGCAAAGTTATCCGGTTGTTCTTCGTAGTGTATCTTTTATACTGAGGTTGTCTTCCCGTTGGAGGAGAAGGAGGACAACTGCATTAAATGAGTGAGCAGTTGACTTGACCAGTAGGACCCGGTAAAGTTGGCGGGTTACTATTTTGGGATAAAGTAATCCTGACATAGCGGCCAATCATCTGCAATTACTCTACGGAGCATGGGGAGCATTAAATGTGCATTTAATGCGCGTACTGTAGCTTTTCCGTTCAAGACTCCTAGCCGTTGAAGGAATCTTTCAGTTGGTTTCCCGGCTTGGTGAAATTCTTCTAAGTGTCAGGCCTTCTGGTGTCTTTAACAGAGAGTCGATCAGAGAAGGTCTTGAGCACTTCTATTGAGAAGATATCCAACAGAGAACCAGGAGGGTTTCTGTCAGAGTAAAGATTAACAGAGACCCTGAGGTCTTCTGTTCCGAAGCAGAGAACCAAAGGTCCTCTGTTCAACCAATGCTTTATCAAGGGTCTTCTGCTCTGGAGGCCTTCTGCTCAGTCGATTATACTAAAGAATTTTACAAAGGAAAATTCTAATACATTAAGCCTAAAGAGGGGTACTCTAAAGTCCTAATTAATCTAGCATCATCAAAATCTAATTACAAATATTCCTTACAATTTCCCCCTTTTTGATGATGCCAAAACCCTTTAACTATTTCCAGAGAAGTGCCTTCACCACAAAGAATTAAAGTTTAAAACTTTCATTAAAATCTTGGTGGGCAACTTGGCATAGGAAAATAGTAAGAGTAGAGTACATTCAGATAGCAAATAATAATCCAAAAACAAACAAACACAAGCAGAAAGCAAAGAAAAGACAGAGATTGAGGAATTGCCTTACAAAGTGTGAGGCAGAGATGTTCTTTTATTAAGGTGGATTATAAGAATATCTGATCACTTAATAGTCTTTGCAGCTTCAGCTCTTGCTTGTTCATCCAGTCCTTGTAGCCTCTTTAGCTCTGCATTCACCTCTTCTCTGATTCTAACCAGATTTCTAGATCTCTGATAAGAAGCCCAAACGGGTGAGAGCTTACAGTCTAGGTAGTTTAGAACACCTTCATGAATATCTTTTCCTGGTACAATGCTGTTGTGAAACCAGAACTCTGCCTCCTCCAGAGATCCACCATGTCTAACCTTTACATGGCCATCATGGTCCAGATAAAGATTCTGTTGTTGTGTGGAGGTCATCTTCTGCTTCATTTCCTCAAATTGTGTTTTAGTCATCACATGAGATCCTCCCAGTCTCCATTCTTTAAAGCTTAGAGCTTTCTTCTTCTTAGTTCCTTTCTTCTGTGGGGATGGGGGTCTAGGGATACCAGCTAGCCGTTTCTTCTGGAGGGCAGCTTCAAAATAAGGAGTGGGATCCACAGCTGGTTCAGCAGATGATGAGGTTCTGGTGGTCCTGGGTTTTGGCAGATGAGGGTTTTCTTCCCCCTTTTTGGCATCATCGAGATCACCAAGTAGAAGGGAGAGTTTCTGGAATTCTGTGGCCTGAGTGGAGGCAATCTGTTCCAGTGTTTCTGGTAAGGTTTGAGTGACAGATGTGAGACCTTCAATCAGCCCTTGTTGTTTCTGGATGGCAGACAGGATATCTTTGTTGCTGGCTTCTAAGAGAACCATCTTCTGATATCTCTCTTTGTCTGCAACTAGGAGGAGCTGTCCTTGAGTAGTATGGTCATTGCAGAGGGTGTTTAGATCTTGCAACCTTGCATGAAGTACTGAATCTGATCTTTGAAGAGATGTCACTGCCTGGGAAAGGGTTGAAAGTGTGGTATGTTGGGAATCCAGGGTCTGATTCATGGCAGTCAGAACAGTCTTGATAGAGTCCACTTCAGTGGAGACAGCACCAATCTTGAGATTTGATGAACTCATGAAATCCTTAAAAACATTTGTCAGAGTGACAGACATATGTTTGAAGCCAGACTTGACATCATCATCCACATGTTGCAGACCCTCATAGTGTTTATCATTAATCAGAATGAGTTTGTTCATACCTTCTAATAGCTGTCCTCCAAAGTTCTTTGCTGCTGCGACAAAATCATTGAAGGGTATCTGATTCTCTTGTCCAGCAGAGTGAGGCAGCTCTAAACCTCTTCCCTTAGGTAAAGGGTGATGCTCTTGGACAGAGGAGAGGGATTGGACAAGGAGTTCATGCTCAAGTTGAGTCAGAGGGGGGGTCTTCTGTCTCTTTGAAGTAGCTTTGTAGGACTTGCTGATAATGAAGCCATCCATGTCAGAGGAGTCTTCATAAGAGGAGTAGATTGGGATTCTGTTCCTGATTACCTTCTTCTTCTTCCGGAAGGAGGGATTGGGGGCAGTACAATGCCTAGAGTAACTTTGTGGTGCAGAGATG